TTTTTTTTGGTCGAAACGATAGATAATTTATATAACAAACGCACAAATGTGCAAAGGTACAACTTGTAGCGCAGCCTAAAGCTGAATAAAATGAGAGGACAGGTCTGATGACCGCCTAGAAGCCCGACACTAGCAATCGCTAGAAACCAAAACAAGGCACTCAAAACAACCACACAATAAACGCACAGAAAAACTACAACGAAAAGCTCCCCACAGGAGAATAGAGATAGGAGCTGGTCCCCACAGGACAATCAATTGCTCCCGCTCACACAGAGGCCAACGGCCCAAACCAAAAAGACAAGACATAAAGCGCTCAGGTAACGAACCCAGACCAAAAACACAAAACTAACACAAACTCAAGCAACAAATTAAAAGAAAACAAAACATAGCCCTCCCTCAGCTGAGACCTCCGAAGTAATCAGCAGACAAGTCCGACTCCGAGGAGAGATCCTAAGCACAGGAACCACGCCCGCCACTGCCTAAAGCCTAGCAAAGGTGAAGACCCCAGCTTCGAAACAATCCAAAAACTGGCCCACTCCCTGCCGCAAGAAACTACAATCGCCCCCCAACCGGCTAACACCACTAGCCAAATCCAGTACCGCCCGAAGACTGCCTATCACACTAGCCAATTTCGGAACGGCCGGTCTCCCCCAGCCTTAAAACGAGAGAAAAGGAAGGAAGGGTAACGAATGGCGTCAAGCCCAGCCGTGCCGACACAATCCGAATAGACAACCTACTTCTAACACAGACCGCGGAGACCAATCCCGGCCCATTACCCTTCAGCGACCGGAAATCAGAAAAGGAGAAACGAGTAAAGTCTTACCTCTGAGCCCAGAAGAAGAGTCGTCCCGACCTGAGCCGACGCGAGCGGCCCCCGCCCCTTCCCTTTACTGGCATCGAACCCCACCGAACCCCAACACCTCAGAACGTCGGCGGCCACAACAGAGGAGAGTGAAATCTGCCGAAACCCTAGCCCGCCCCCTTTGGCTTGAGACAACGGATGAGAGCATCTCCGCCAGAATCATGGGAAAGGAGCGGAGGCCGTCCACCGACGAGCCCGGACGATGACTGAGGGAGGCTCAAATCCGGTAATACAGGCGAACGACGAGGGGATTGAAGATGGCGATTTGGGCGATTTTTTCTACGGAGCCCCCCTAGGATTTTTAAATTTTCATAAAATTAGCTTGTTCAAGAGAACATAAAATTTGTATGTTTAAACAATTAAAAACTCCTAAAATATTATATTAACATATGTAATATTATCTAAAATTTTCTATATTATTATCAAAAGATGTGAAGTCACCTACAACTTTTCTAAACTATTTTGTAAAGAAAATATATCTAAACTCTAAAAAGAAATTTTGTACGCATAACATTCCACGCTTTATGCAGATTTATCAATTTTACAAATAAAATGGGATTTATTTTATATTAAATGGAGATTAAGACATTTTTTTTAAAAAAAAATCTGTTTTTTTCAAAATCATCCTCTTGATTTTTGAAACAATACATTTGTAATTTGACTTAATTATTGTAAAATTTTGAAACTTATGGAAAAAAAAAATTAAAGAGACAAATTTCAATTGATTTGAAATTCTTAAACCATTTTGAATTTCATGCAAATTGAAACAAAAAAAAAATAAATTCATTATGATTTTGTAATTTTCAAGATGTTTATTAATATTAAAGTGACACGAAATCCTTCATTTAATGTTATCCATCTAAGGATAGAAGCATGTGATTAGATATTTTTGAAATTCAATTTGAACAAAATCCTTTATATTAGGAAGAGATTTTGAATTAAGCCCGATTTTATGACAACTAAAATGAGAAGGGATTTTGAATTTCAAATTTTCAATTCAAGTTCTAAGGTAAATTCTTTGGCAATCTGATTGTTTGGAATAAAAAACACAATCAAATTTTTTAAATCAAATATGAGAAAAGATTTTGAATTTAAAATTATATTCAATGATCGAAATTTCTAGAACTTAATGGAATCAAATCCACCAATTTAGGCTGCAATGTGATTCACGATTTTCTGTTATCAATTTTTTTTTTCTTTTTTCTTGAAAATTAAATCAGCCGCAACTTTAGGAATTGGTATTTTTAAAAAATAAAGATATCACTAATTCAATGGTATTAGCCGATTTGATGTTAAAAACGCTTCAAATTGTTTGCAAATACTAAAGTTATTTTTTATTATTAAACCAGCAGTAATTTATTTTTTATCAAAAAAAAAATCTGCAATTTGGTAATCTTATTCTGTTAAAAAAAAATTTAATTTGTGAAAATGAAAATGTTACAGCCTGTCCTTGCACAAATAAAATATTGATGATTTCATAATTAGAGTAGTTTTNACCCGTGTATTATTTTCTTTATAAATAATTGTCAAACAAAACAATTGAATAGCCGCAACTTTATTCTTTTAATTGAAACTGCCCGATTTGATGGTTAGACAAAATGTTTTCAAAAGAAATAAACAAATGATTTTTTATTTTTTTTATAATTTTACCCTTAAATTAGCCGTAATTTTGTTTAAATAAAATTTGCTAATCAAAACATATGTATTAGCCGATTTTATAGAAAAAAAAGTTTCCAATATTTTGAAAATACAAAAGCATATTTTTATGGTCAGAAAAAATAACACATAATTTTTTTTATTATTAAATCAGTCGTAATTTTTTTATTAAAAAAAACTGTCAAGCAAAGCAATTGTATTAGCCGAATATCTGGTTTTAAATTTGGAGAATATAATTGGCCGATGTTGAATTGAATTAACAGTCGTGACGTACATTTTTATTCAAATTTAAAAATAGCTTATTGTAACCAATAACCAAATTTAATTGATGCAGCCCGTGCATTGTCAGTTTTTGATATGCACATCGTGTTAAAC